ATGGTATGAGGTTTCTCTATGAATCGACGGATCTGTCAATTTTTCCATTGTAGCCCCGGTGGCAAAAATAGCCATTGGACATACCGCACCTCCCCTTTAGCCTGTCTAAAATTTCCAGCCCATGCAATAGCGTCTGAATAACCACCGTCGAAGACGATGTCCCCCTCGATTTTGTAGCAACTGAGTCGACACGTGAAAAGCGGAATACCAAATTTTGGACCAGATCCTATCAGCCATTGGCGATCAATGCATCGTCCCAGTCGGCTTGTCAGTAACCAAGCAAACTAGTATGGATTGCAGCTTTTCCTCTATGGGTGTGGATTTTCTTGCCCATAAAACCTCCGACTTCAATGAGTCTTGCTAGGAGAGTGCAACCATCATCTTGAAAAGCGGAAAATAACCTGTTTTTCAACTTTATCTCTTCCTTCTGCGGTACTGGGCGCTTGTGCCTATATACAAGCAAAAGGAATTTAATTCGAGCATACAAATAGGTCAGATATTTCCAGGTAAAAGTTCAGATGTACAGACCAAATTTTCTGCCAGCCAAAAGACTATTTGATGAATTCAAAAATGCGCCAGTTGCGGCTTTCTGTACATTACTTAGAGTAATGCCTAGGGCTTAGGACACTTTGATAGCTGAATTTACTGTAGTGGGTGCTTCAATATCCGTCTTTATAGTAATTACTGAGCCATCATGATAAGCACAATAACTTACCCATGGCACCAATGATCACAGTCAAGCGCTAGTTCAGTCCCCACAACGTTGTCGGTATCTTGCAATGTTCGAGGTCACTCAGAGAGAGAGGGTACTTGAAAGCTATTATTTTCAAGCTCTCTGTAAATCATTCCTGTAGGGTTCTTCCTTACGAAACCGATGCAGATTGGTTTCCTTTTCAGCGGTGCTTTTCCCTTTTGATCGCCACGACTCACAACGGAAATCCTGCCCTTCTAATTTTCTATGTCCTATTGAGCAATGAACGGAGTTTATCTCGTCAAGTAGGTCATTCAGAAAGAGGGTACTCGTGATCTTCTCGCGCACTGAGGAAAAAAGAGGGACGCCGTTGTCGGTAGCCGCTAGTGTGAGCAGCCCGATTTCGATGGAGATTGCGTTCTGCTTTGGCTAAAATTGTATCATTTGCAATTGTCTCCCATTCCGTCTTCTCAAGCGGTGCCCCGAGACTACACGGCGAACCACAGCAGCCAAAGGTCGCTCAATAGAAAGTGAAGGGTGCTTGTTGATAATCTGGATGGGGCTTCAATTGGGAAGCCCAGCATTCGCTGCTGGAAATCAACTGGCAAGAGAAAGATTATAGTGAAGATTGCTCTGGACAGCCAAAGATACCTTTGATGGAAAATACCCGCTGTAGTAGTAGTAGTAGACAACAATGGCACGGGCGCAGCGGACTTCTTAGTGGCACTCCCGCGTAACCGCTTTAGACAAGATAGGTGAGTAGGGGGAACAAGGACCGACTGGAGTTCCCATCGCTCCTTTTTTTCTACGACTTTTTGTGCTCCTCTGATGAGTCTGCCAAAATGTCAGCATCTATCTAATTAAGCATTGGAAGCCTCTCTGCAAGTATTCCGTTATGTCAATGCCATAGTACATTACATGTATAGTCTTCCTAATAGTGTATGTACAGAGTAAGCAATCTTCCAGGAACTTCACTATGAGCGATCAAATATGAAAAAAGCTTAATAGGCGTTAAAGAGAAAACTCGCTTTCGATAATCCGTCAGTTGCAAGTTGCTCGTCTCATGTTCGTTCAAATTATACGAGTAAAATATAATGATTCGATGCTTCCAAACGTGGAATATAATTTCTGTTATAACAGTTCAGACGTGATCTCAGTAGCAGTTTAACGTGCTACCTTTTCACACGCCACCGAACGAAGGCGAAATATTAATGGCGCACATGAAGCGACCGTGGCCAGCCAGCCAGCCAGCCAGCCACACGCACCTTGCGATTCGTACACTATAAAACACTATGTTGTACGAAATACAATGGAACAAAGCTTGCCGGTGGTTGCCGTACAGTGGTGAGCTCACCGGTGTGCTTATAACAATAAAGCAATAGCAGACAAACGAACAATATCGGATTATCAAGAGGTAGGAACTACGACGGAAAATAAGAGGTGCGGGTAAGCGACACACGTGTGGCGGTAATACAAGGAAGAACCAGGAAGAGAAAAACGAAGAGACCGAGAACGAGAGACGTGGGACAAAAAAAAGCGAAAGCCATAAGAAGACGAATAATAATCGAAATATGCACTGGAACTATATGCAAACAAGGGCAAAGGGAACAGGAGGGGTATCGTGAGGTGCGCCTTTGTCATTGGCCCTAGCCTTTTGCCAGGCCAGACCTGGGACCAGCATCGAAAGTTAGCTGCCGAACCCGATTACCAAGCCGTCCTAAGAATCGCTACGCCCGGGGCGATTCCAGCAAGCTACTTGATTCATCTCTTGGTTCGTAACTGGCTGACTGCCTTTTGCCCGCCCGCCTGGCGACGTCCTGGCCGCGTTATTGTCAGCTCCTATGTCACCATGGTTGTCAAGGATTGTTAAAAGCCGCCCGTCATCATTTAACAGACGTTGGCGTCCGTCAGGTACCCACCAGAAGCTTCAAGTAACTGTCGGGCAGCGGTGCAGCTGGTCTGGCTGGTGTGGGGCGCTTCTCCTTAGGGGCCCGCCAATGAAGCGGTGGATGTGAGGGTGCGGCTATGGCTCACCAGCTTGGTGACGGGCTAGACCGTGTTTGCTCCGCAGTCTGCTGCCAAAACTTTCTAGCTTGGCAGTCTTACTCCGTAGCGAGTGTGTGCGCTCAGTGGCTAAGAGGGAACAATCGAGGGTCGAGAAAAGAGCCTTTTAGGCCTTACTGCTGATATCAGATATTCACTAGGCCCACTTGTTATGCTGTATCCGCACAGCAAGAGATAGTGCAGCTTGTGGGTACCGAGTTGTGCTGTACTCCACGTTGGTATTCGTGGGTGACTGACCGCGGGTTACCGCGATACATAAACTGAACACCTCCCACCACTATCTTTCACCGCCTCCTTTCTTTAGTGCCCTGATACGCCAGCCAGAACATGGTAATTAGCGGACCGCCCAAGGCAAAACAATGGTCGAGTTAAGCAGTATGAGCCTCACTGCTAAGAAGAAGACTTAGGCCGAACACAGAAAGAATCGGGGTACACAGGCTGCATGATGTTTGGGGATGAGAAGTTAGGTAAAGAGGTCCTGTTCCTGCTGGCAGTGAGCTCCCTGTGCACTGCCGAAAGCACAAAGCAGGACTTCACCTAACCAAAGAGCCGACGCTGAAGAATTAGGATGACCCCATGATGATGGTATGACAACGGGGTGTATGTCAGCTTGTAAGTATTTAAGGATAACATGTGTGACAAGCAATGGCTAAGGACGTCACTATGTTGTGTAGTGGATGAGAGTTGGGGTTGGTGAGTAAGCGACGAAGGAGAACAGGCGCACACGAAACAAAAAGAAAAAGTGCAAAAGAAAAGCCTGTGACTCCGTGACGCTCTGGCCCATGACAAGGAGATATGACACGGATGCATTAAAATCACGCGCCGCTTCATGCGACGAAAAGCAGAGAACAGCCGGAGGCGCTTAGAAGGAAGTTAGCTAGATGGTTAACGGAGTGCCCGGGGTGCGGGAGGGCCGCGAGACGTCAAAGACTTCCTAATTCAAATCGAGGGCTTTCCTACTTACGATATCTGCAAAGATAGCTTATATCCCTGGCGGAACTTTGCTTGGCAGGTGATGATCTCACACGGAATGTCGCCTTCTACGAAAGGAACCGATAGTAGCGGAGGGCCGTGAAAGCTAATCGAAGGCTCGATGTGACCACACGTAAAACACCAACTATAGCGTTAATTATAAGTAGATTAATTATTACCCTATGCATGTACAGAGTACTTCTTTACGGTCATAGCAGATTAACTAAATAGTAACTGTCTTCGACTGCCATAACTTGTCCTGAACATGCACTACAACCTTTAATCTAAATGCTCATACGTATTTTTTAACGGCTGAAGCAGATCCACTCGTAGCGAGCGATACTATTCACGGCACATTAGAGGACAATTCTGAACATAAAATATGAGATTTAGATAAAGATCGAGTTTGGAACCTTGCACCTTTCCGGTTGCTGCCCTTTTTGTTTTCGAGTTTTTAGGTCCGGAATCGCCGTTAGGCATTCCATCAGATGGGTGGCTCCCAGCACGAAACGAACGGTCCGTCTACGCCCGGGTTCGAACGAGGACCGCAACCTGTTCTAGGATTAGCAGGCAAAAACGTTACCACCCCAAGCTATCACGGCGGCTATCGTTTGCTATTCTTTGCTTCTGCAATAATAACTTTTAGCTTACCCGACAGTGTGCCTGAAGTCTAATTAAAATGATAAGTAGCAATATCGCGCAAAAGAACATACGGGCGCTTCGTATTTGCTTGCTTCTATGCACAGAAGCCATGTTTTGATAGGACGTGGTAATCATATATTAACTTGAAACTAACTATATAGCGAGTAAGGCAAACCATGCGCAGCAGGAAAGAAATCTGGACAAATTAGGATTTACCAAACGATCTAGTAGTCATAAGATAGGCTAGTCAGGTGATTCAAGATGGCACAAAACACAGTCATACCGATAAAACCGAAAAAGATTTTGACCGCCTATATATAGCGCCTAACGGAAAATATTTGGCAGATTACATAAGGAAAGCCCACATTGAGACGAGTCGTTACTACATTCACATTATTCAATATTCACATATATCCGAACTATTATAATGATAGAAGAGCTACTATATATATATGCATATTAGTCCTTCTACCATTATGTTGCAAAATACTGGTTAACGTCGTAACACGTAGAATTATAAAATCTGTAAATTACTTGCGTGCGCAATACGGTAAATCCGTAGAGTTACTTGATCGAAGATGTCAAATTTTACGCCGCTGGTTAAAAACAGAAACACCTGCCAATATCTCACTTGGATTTTTTTTATATAGACGAATATGTGCGGTGGCCGGAAGCGCTGACTGGTGGGACTGGCGTCTGTTACGGCCCTGGTTGGTTAGAATAGGGGCTGATCGTCGTCAAGGAGTGGTCAACTCAAGTCCAATGGCACCTGATCGTGAAAATTGGATATCGGATTCAGCTATACTCGTGGAAGACCGTAGCTCGCTTCAAGCAGTCAATTCTGTAGTAGCCGCACAGAATACTCGATGCTGTCATTTCCTGCCGGCCTACTTCACAATCCGTCAATGTCGCTAGCCCTATATTCGGTGCCGGAAAAATTAATCTTGAGAAAAATTTTCTGGAGTATCGCTTTGAACCTTCTCTACATAAGTCCAATACATAAGCATTATTGGTTGCTCGAAAATTCTTAGAGCGGAATATAACAAAAAGTTCCCATAGGAGCAGGTGGCATTGAGTCTTCAAGCTTGCTCAATATAGCTCGACCGTTATTGATACAAGGTTTAAGGGTTTCAAGAGTGCCTAGGCCCTATAAGATAAAATTGCTCCAGTTACTAATATATCGTGAATAATAATCAAGATAACTTCCGCGCAACACTGAATTAACCAGCGCGTCGACGATCATTCGTGGCAGTGTAGTTTTATACTATAATATTCATCTTCAGTACTTACCGTCATTCTCAGCATTTAATAAGCTTGCCGTAATTGTGCCGCAGCAACAAGTTTATCAATTAAACTTCGAAAAATGTGACGTGGTCTCGATTGAATACCCAGCTTAGAGACAACTTGTCTCATTCTAAAAACGTAGCCATCTGAAACAACACTTCGGGATAGCGCCGAACGTAAAGCTCGGAACATGTACCTATTTAGTCTAACGTTTGAGCGAAATTAAGACGATTGGATAGCTTTCTGAGCACTTCATTAGACACGTAACGCTTGACGTTTAACGAAATATTATTCAGAATGTGCTGCATTTTATCATAGAAATCAGAATTCCAGGCATTATCGTCTCACTTAACAGGCGATTTTCCCAAAAATTAACCGCTTTTTGGGAAATATTATGCCCACGAATCAGACCTTGACCCAGCTGCTTGTGCATATCGGGCAACGTATTCAACTACTGATTGAATATTACATACGAAAAGTTCGCCCGTAGCTCTCAGCTCTTCTGATTCACATTAGGTAAACGTCCAGTCACTGTTTCTCCATTTTACACAATCTTTGTATAAGTTTTATGTCTGCGCCACCGAGTCTTATATGGAACAAACAACGACGCTGTTGTTACTATTTGCAATAGAAGTGCTTATTTTACATTCTAGTCTATGATATGATTGGTTCCCTAATAATTTCAAGAGCAGGAGATAATGTAAATGAATAGAATAGTAAGAGAAAAAAGCGGCATTTCCTGTTAGCAGAATTATGTGAAGTTTGGCATCGGCAGGAAATGAGCAAGCAAGGCCATCATTGCATCATCAATACTAATTTTATAATGGTAAAGCAGTTGTTTTACGTTCCCGATACCTGTTCGACATTTCGCGTACTGCGTCACCTTAGTCCTTATTACCGATAATGCATTCCGTAGGTCTGTTTATCCTATACGTGGTATCTGTATCCTATACGCATGCAATGCATGGATCCAGTAGCATTTGTTCTTACGTATCAAATAGCGATTTTCCCAACACGCATACACGATTCTATTCATCAATAGCTAGATTGTTAGTGGGTCTGCGCGTACGAAGTGATAAAAATGCCAGAAACCTATGACGCAATGAGATATCGGCATCAATAGTCGCCCTTAAGCAATGGTCATTTGGCGGAAACAATCAATGTATGGTCGTCAGCTGTGATTGTATATGATAACTCCGGAATACTACGTCAGAATACTAAGTGTACGAAGCCAATGTTACCCTCGATTCATATCGTTCTCGAGTTTCCTGACCTTATCGAATGTCAAACTGCTCGAATAACGACGTTTTACTTATCAATAGGCCGTATCAACGAGTCGAACATTATTCGACACTCTTCCAGGTCGTGTGCGTGTCTATGATTTCTAATTATTTTCCCTAATCGGCCAGCTGCCAATTGACCAGTAGGGAGTGGCTGACTTGAACAGTGTGGGGGGGGGGCATTTGTCTTCCGCCAAACGAAGGTCGCACATTTTGCCCACCTCCTGAATATGCGGTCTTTGCGGACAGGGCTGTTCGTCGGCCCCCTTGTATTCTCCGTTTGTGTTGGACTCGCTCTGACGGATTCGGCTGCCGATCACAGTGAAGAGACTACCCCAATCCCTTCGATCACCGGCGGACAACAACTTTGGACAATATGTGTGGCACTCGTATGTCTTTATGTGTTTGCCTCCATTATCTACATGGTCGTCGATATTATAATGAAGGTTTGCATTCTGCTGTATTTCTCCTAAATGTTTTGCGTTCTATTAAGAACGTAAACAAGGCATAGTGTGATGTATTTTATTTCTAAACGGACGTGTCTCACACTACGGTGCTGAAAGCCGGGCTTTTTTATAACTGTATATTTGACATCGCGTTTAGCAATATGAATACAAACACAGCTCAGATTCACCGTTACTTACATATCGAGAACGTTCATTCTGAAGGCAAACCTTCTCAACAGCTGACATTGTGTGTCCGTAATTGCGCAGTGGGTAACGCGTTTGCCTGCTAAACTTACGGACACGTGGTGGCCTAGGTTTGAATTTGGGCTTGGTCTGGTGCTGCGAACTAGCCATCTGAAATGATGCCTATCGGCTTAAGTACCGGACGTAAAATACGCAAGAACTTGTATTGTCTGGATCAGGTAATGTAGCAGGACTCAATCCACACGTACAGAGAAGTCATATGTACGATTGGTTTAGAATTTTGGCTTGTCTAGTGCTTTAACAAAATAGTTGGCATTAACTACCGTTGATTGATAGAGAACGTCTGTTGTAATTTAAGGTATGTCTTCTCAGAACGCTTACTACCTGCAAGAAGAAAGCTGTCGGTGTCTGAGGCCGGTTTACAAAGCTGAAGATAGATTAAAACGAAAATCAACTATTCGAATCTTCATAAAAATAAGATGTAACGAATGCAGCTGAAGAAGCCACCGTTGACACTTTTTGAACGGTGCAAAAAAGAACGCGCCAAACGCCTTAAGGCGTAGGCTACGAGATGAGGAATAGTTTGTTTCGGCAATTTTTTAATATATAATTAAAGACTGGCCCCTACAATTTCGAGTATGTGATGTTAATGTACTCGAAGCTTGCAAATGCGTAGCCTTAGGTATTGTACTCGAAGCATAGGTCTATTTTGGCACTAACTAACTCAGAGCTAGACTAAATGTGAATAGATCGTCACTCTCTTAAACGAGAACTCTTAAGAAGCATTCTAGTGTTTTGTGGTGGATGGAGGACCGCACTGACAACTGGTCGTCTATGGAAGGATTCGTACGAACTGTTCGGCAAAGAGTTCACTGTAGTTCGGATCGAGACTAACGCCGGAACATTGATGCGAAAATAGTGGGGTTTTTATTGGCTGCCAGTATTTGAGAGTTATTTGGCCTCAAGCATCTCCGAATCTGCCCACTGTAGTTTCTTTTAATATTCGAGTATTTATGCTTAACTTTCATTCCATTTATAACGATAAAGAGCTGTAACGTTACGTATGATCCGTGAAAGCTGATACCGACCTACGTACGACCAAGGTATCTAGAAGCAAGGAAATGATAATACACAGAAAGATGTCAGACGCAGGACCCGCACATCTTAAGTTTATGGCAATTGAGCTAATCAACTCTGGAGGCGACACACGTTGCTTGGGGCAACAAGAAGACGAGTGTTCGAACTCATGTTTTGCCCCTGGTGCTTCGTGATTCTTGGGGCGCGAAAGCAATGACTTGTAGTAGCTATGATTGTGGTTGTAAAGACGAGAGTTGTTTTTCGGAGAGATATAAGAATAACAAACCAAACGAGCGATTGCATGTGTACAGCGAAGGAAGACACTAAGGCACGAGGCCTACAAGGCAGAATTAGCAACTATAGGGTATGGCTGAACGAATTGCCTGGGCGTTGCCATGGTGTAGAAGCCGATTTTTCATTCTAATAGCGAAAACACAGGCATCTGCTGGTCAATACGCTTGTCAATATTGAAAATATCCGGTTAGAGTAGGTATATTATCCATACATCTTTCTACAGACGTAATAACGTATAGGCCTACGGGATAGAAGTGATTTTACTACGGCTCCCCAGGCTCAACGATGAAGATGAGTGAAGAACATGAAATTTCGCAGTGTAGAGTTCAGTATTTCTCACAGAACTTCGAGATTCTGCATGATGCGGAAGCGCTGATTTCTCGAACTGGATAGCACGTAGCAGATGTTATAGGTAAACAAAGCAAACTCCTGCGTGTTTCAGCGTTACCCGTTCAAATAGGACACACTGTAATCTGCGGTGATTCCGGGAGTACAATTATTTTATTAATTACATTTATGTAGCTATCTAAACTAATTGATACCTTATTTTATACATCGAAATTAAAGAAATTACAATACGGGCTAAGTGAAAAAAAAAAAAAAAAAAAAAAAGTAAATGGTATGTTAGCCCATAAGTTGGTTTTTTTTAACTTCACGTACACGATCGGCAAGCCCCTGTGCGGCTACGTAACGAAAACTAATACACACGAAATTTCGCCAGGAGTAACAGTATATTTGAAAACAATGAGTGCAACGATATAGAGCTTTTGCAGATCGCCGTTTTTGAATTTACGCGACCGTTGCTATATAGAACAAGAAGTACTATTAAAGTCCTGAAAGCAAAAACGTTCTAGTTCGCTCAAGCCAAAGGTGGCCTGGCCCATGTTCTCACACTATCTTGAAATTATACGATTCCTACGCATTGGTTATGTCATGCAAGAAAGAAGCCAGTGGAGGGTCCAGGTAAGCGAAATTCGAGAGCTATTTAACAAAGGCACTACATTTGACTTAATGGTAATTTTTCTCTTCTATAGAATAGTTGCTGGCACACTGCATCGCTTAATAGCTTCGCTTCAAACGACAGACTTAGACCGCATACAGTAACGTGCTAGATATCGGCTGTATTTTGTAGTGTTAACATGCTATTTGTTAAGAGGTTATATTTCTCACGTAGGGCTCACACGGACGTAGAGAGTTGGATAAAACCCGATTCTATACAGGATTTGGGAGCAATGAGGTAGGTCACACACACACACTCCGTGGTGTTTTCCCTATTAACTATAGTGCAGAGTACATAATGATTGATAACACAAAACTCACTGTTACCAATCGATTCGAACCGGGAGCAATCGCTGCACAGTGTCGGAAGACCTAATAGTTTTGGTAAAAATTCAACCAAAATTAAATATGTTCTTTAGATAGTGATCTTTGATTGATCAACGGAATCCGAAGGATCAGTTGGTCGTGACAGGCTGATTTCCAGCTGATTCTTCGAAGTCAATCATACGGCGACTACGTAGCAGACTCTGGCTAGACATTTTTGGCGACGGCTACTAGCGCATTAAGGTAAGTTAGTCTCTGGCAGGTTGCTTCATCTTCTCGACAACTACGCGTTTAGCCTTGAGCAAGCATCAAGTAACTCTCTGGGTCAATGAGGATGGGGTCAACAAGTTGATATAAAAGCGAGAACTTAAGTGTGATCAACTCTTCCTGACTAATACTTGCGCTCAGGTAGCTTAAGTAAGCCTTATAAAGCAGCGTCAATTTTACTACCGCGATGGCATTCCGAATAACTAGTGGTTCACGTAAAGCAATTGCCTTTAAGCTAACAACGTTTGACAATCCGTTTGTTGTGCATGCGTGTTGTAAATGTATAGCTTATTATACGCATATTGTTGAAGAGATAGATTGCCAGCAAAGACCCAGTAACTTCGGATATAGATACAGTAGGATCCTCTGTGTCCCGGCAACCTAACCGAAATAGGCAAGTGGACTGACTGACTGACTGACTGGCTTCTAAATCTGAGCGGTCTATTGTGCGGTCAGCTCGTGGAGTGTGACATAATTATCTATACATAAAAAACGTAATTTTTTTGACTTTGTTCTTTCAAGCACGTTGTCTCTTTCAGCATCGACCATCGATCGCTGGTGAATGTGCGCTTTCGGGCAATATAAATGATCGCACCAGCTTCTTCGTAACAGGACTCAAACGCTTACCTACACGAAATACTCAACACCCTAATCGAAAAGTCTCAGCCACGATCATTGACGACGACGGTATCTGTACCACGAAACAGTGGCAGTATCGTACATTAGTATTGGGTATAATTGTGACATGAGCTACGTGAGCTTTTTGGCACAACCATTACCACAGTAGTAAACCATTCGATTGACAGGTCGCGCCGGACAACTCGCCGCTGAGATGTCGCCGGTCAGAAGGATGAGGGTAACACGGTGTCAAAAATGAAAAGTGGAACAGCACTCAAAAATACGTACAGCTTGTTTGTTGGACGCTGAAAGACGGACGGACTTCGAAAGCATTGGCGGCATTTTTCCAACTACTCCTGGACAAAACAACTGGGGAGAAGAAATGGCAGAAGGCGCGACGAGGAAAACCTCTAAGTCTCGCATACGTAGGAATGGCATGTACGTCATACATCTTAATGCTAAGAAAAAATGTCGTAGAGAAGAGCTTATTAAATAGGCACAATCTGGGAATTTTCGTCCCGTTGAACATTTGAAACTAACGACTTCTTATGTTTATTTCGCCGACCAAGCATCGAGGAATGCCAAGATGTTATTAGTTCTTGCAAAGTATGATAAGCAGTACCTGTGTCTTTGATTCAACCTTCTCATCCATCAAACGAAGCCGAGCATACTGCCCTCGTGTCACATCTGACGTTACTCACTCTTCATTAATGCTACTTGCTTGATACATAGCAATCAATATTATTCTATTATCTATCTTCATTGAAGTTTGCAGTCGACAATAGATGAACGTGTTAGTTTAGCAACGAATGAACAGCAAACGTCACAAACCAATCTGTTATTTGAAATAGTGACTGCCTGTAAATGTGAGATGCGTATTTTTGACGTCTGTACGGGAAGCGAGGAAACTTCTTGATTTATAGAGGTTATCTCATTCTGAATTTGCTTGAACGCTGAACGGCAAAGAAGAACGGCAGTTCGCGTCTCCTGAATAATTTATCAATGGTAATTTTGCTCACACTCTCTCGAAAGTACCGACTGTGACAGCCAATTGATCAAAACGTTAAATTGTTAATAGTGTGTTGTACCCTGTGGTTTGTTATTCACGGCTAAGGATGAGAATATTGTCGTATGCCCAAACAAGCCTACGCCCGATTCTTTTTGAATTTGCTCACCTTTTTTTCTTGCTTTTCGAATTCGAATACTTGTCACACGTCTTTTTTCTCGTCAGTAGTATATATATATACATTTTTCGAAATACTAGTGTCTGTAGTAATGCGCTGTTTAGAGGGGAATAGAATCGAACCCAAAAAGTAATGCGCTCTCCAAAGCCAAAAGCCGATGGGAAGTATTAATGCTCCAGAGCAACCTAGTCGCTAATCATTTGGTAGCTCTGAACAAGCTGCTGCTGCTGCTGCTGCAAAATATATAGAAATTGTATTTCCCATATGGTGCATCTCTTATTACAAGCAACCAATACGAACGTCCATTTTCTTTGTTTTAGCTACGTTAGATGTGCAAATTTATTATTATTATTATTATTATTGTTATTACCATATCGAGGCCCTAAATATATTTTCTCTATCGTGCTTTTTTGGCGGTTACTCATTCGCTTCTACCTTTTCCCCTAGTCGGTCGATATATCACTGGCTCTATTTTAATTTTGGTGGGCCTTTGATACCTAAAGGTTCACCCCTGCCAAAAGGAACCCATCTGAAATTCAAATACAAGACCCACAACGAAGTGCTCGCGTGGGTTCAACTTTGGGTGTCTATGGTTGCTAAGGAAATTACAGCACACAATTATTAATACGGGTCGCGAAATGTTCATCTCGACTGTGCAATCCTCACAAGAGTCACCAGTCTGGTTAAGCGTGGATAGAAATACGCAGACTTCGTCCCACATCCGACCGTGGTACTCTGGTATCTACGAGAATAAAGAACCCGCGGCTTCATCCGTAGTACACAAAGGCAATTAATCATTTATTAATTAGTTTACTTTGAGTGAGCTTTCGTCGATTTCTCCCCTCCCAGGATTACCCCAGTAGCTTACAGTTCGTATCTATCTGCGATGCGGTCGGTCACACTACAGCAGCAGCGCTCGTCAGAGATGTACAACCTGTACATGCTGTACTGGCGTAGGAAAGATCGCTATGGGCCGTGTAGCTATTCGTGTTCTGGAAAAGAAGCTCTATTTCATTTTTTTTTTTCTCAATTAACTCAGCCGCGTCTGCCATATGCCGTTGCCTTAACTGGTATTGGTACTGCGTGCAGCAGCGGTCTAGGCTATCTTTCGCTACAAGAAAATGGAGTGTTGCCCGAATATATCATTCGTGCATCGCTACTACAAAAATATATTATTTATTATTATAGAAAAATATATATATAATTTCGTCTTATCAATATAACTGAGAAGTTTGTATTGAATATTATATCTGGCTATGCCGAGCAACAATACGACATCGTCGCCAACTTATGATAACCACTTAGACACCATCGAGTCTACTAATTGCGGATGACATTACTGTAACAGACACAGGCCATATCGGTGACGCATAATGCCTTGGTAGCGAACGATTTCCAATTTTCCAATAGTAAAGGTCTATTGAAGAAATCCAAAGGCAGGACTAGTGGTCGAAGTCGGACTATTTTCTGCCGGGAAAACGCTTCAGGCGTTAGATCACTACGCCGAAGTTCATTTACGTCATCACTACGCCGAGGTTCTATCGGACTACTCATTAAGCAGTCTATGCCGCGCTGCGTAGAAGCGTCTATTTGACTTTAACAGGTCACATTGGTGTTCGCTAGGAGCCCAAGATTAGGAATGAATTACTCATCTAATCATTGTTGCCTAAAAGCTAATCAACATAATGGGAAAATTGTCTATTTCAATTCGCTTCATTTCCTTTCAAATAGGTCTCTTTGAAGTGAGCACTTCAAGGCCGTATAATATCTCAGGTAATCTAGATAGACTTCACTGACCTAATTCTTAGCTCGTATGTACTTCATACTCAGGACAAAGAATTATGTGCGTTTCTCGACCTCGGTAAAGACTCGGTTGATATACTGGCAGGCCGAAGTGCATTTTTCAAGGCCGAATTGTTTGGGTTGGACTGCCTTTTACGTGGTTTTAGCCAACGATATATGGCTTAATAGACCTCGGCTTACAAACCCGCCTCACTAGTGCAAACCGCACAACGATCTTGAGTTGTCATTTTCACGCCGTAAGGTACAGTTGCTTTACCTTTGGGCAGAAGTAGTTGTACGTTTTTTGGAATTAATTCCAATGTCCCTTCACACGACAACGCTGGGGGCTATCTATACTCACTGGAAAGTGTCAATCACTAGTTTTTCTAAGGAAAGGACACGGTCGAGCGTGTAAGCAAATCCAGGTATTGACCTTTGCTTCCAACAAACATGATCTTACAAGCATAGTGTGTTATAAAATTCAGCACAGCGAAATCTTGGTTCTGCAGTGTAGCGTGGTTTAGTGTCGAACTTAAGGATACAACAGAATTTAAGACAGACACAATGTCCTGTCAGAGGTAAACAAGATCCAGGTATCCGAAAATATTACTGCCCAATTTATTCGAAGATAAACAGCAGATTTTATCGACATTATTACATAGTAATGGCTTGCGTAGCTGAAAAAGCAACATCAAAATTTCGCCACTTCGTGAAAGCTGAGTCGTGATTTTATACAGCGGAAGAACGTGAGCTACGTTGAAAGCTGTTATACACGATTACCCCGGTGCAGTTTTCTCTTTATAGTTCGATTCACACTTAAACGCGATGGAACTTCATTTACGGATGATAGAAGATATCTATCCCGCACGATACCTTTCGTAAGATTCTGCTAAGTATATATTATTGAATAAGTGAAAAATAATCACTTTATTCTAGACTTCAATATGACTACCTTGAACAAAGCGCTATAATATGGTCTTCAAATACCCATTCGTGTTCGCTGAAGTCGAGTCTGAGCAGAAATCCACTGGAATTTGCGTTCCTTCCGATTGGCCTCCTTTCATACTATATCGGGTACTAAGAGAACTCCTGCATGCCGCGTCCTCGACTGTATTGGAGTTGTTAGGATTGGTCTTCGGCTTTGCTTTTACAAAGATTCATCTCGAATGTATCATTGGTTCACGTACAAAATTAAACCTTCCGTCTCATATCAGCAATGATTGAGCTACAGTGCTCTCGTTGCAAGAAGGGATACGGCCATGCAACAATAGAGTACACGATTACGCACAGCTAGCAAAAGTCGTCCTTATAAACCTTAATGTATACGGTTGTGCAAGCTCAATTTAAGTGCAAATCTCCCGAGCCGAACTAAATAAACGTAAGAGAAAGTTTCTAGCGGGCGACATCGATGGCGTGGTGTGCAATGAAGAAACGTTATTCGACCACAAAGAGTGTACACGTTGTTTTCATTTGTTTATCAAATGAAACACCGTTCGTGTGTATTCACCTAGTCCCACTATCTATAGTATAGGCAAAGCCACCCTGTGAACTATAGTGGTTCGTTTTGGTAAAGTAGGATGTTTAAAATGGTAAAGCAATAAAGGATCCAATGCTTTCTCTGACACAATCAAGATTCTGTTAAACTGTACAGCGTGAAGCATTCAGACTCGGATACGTTTTGCCGAGTTGTTTGTTATTCAATTCTGTACGCCAGAAGAAAGCCAGTTCTTTCTGGAACAAATTTACTGTGGCGGAAAACGGTACATCGCTCTCAAGGCTTGAGCGAAGGTCAGATATTATTTGATCCCTCCACAAGGGTTCCTAGTAAAACTAAAAGCTTCCTTTTGTGGCCCCAAGTCTGCGTTACTTTCAGATTTCGTGCGGCTTTTCAAAAATCAGAGAGAGGCTTTGATGAGGCGGAAATCCTCAATAGGACTTAACGTAATGGACTTGAAAGTCAATCAAAATGGTTCAAAGAACCGAACCTTTTTGTTACACCACGGGCCTTAGATATAGAAATTTATAGCCGTTTTGGCTAGAGGAATATTAAATGGCAATAAGGTGATTCAGATAGGCTTTTTGCACGCTCTAAGCGCTTTGGGCAATTCCGAGTCTTTGCATCCTCGGGTTGTGCGTAGTGTATTTAAACGATATTCTAACGAATTTCCACCTACCAGTATCGCTTGAAGCATAATAACTTCTATAAAATAAAGCTGTAACTTGAAGAAATACTTTGAAAGTGATTGTTTACTAATTTAGATTTCGTGAAGCTGTGATCGCGCCGAGTGGTGCTTATACTGAATAGGCATGACTGTTTGAAATGATATTTTATTTCATGCAAGCCATTTCGAGCTTCGATACAATTGGACTTCGGCGTTATGTACATATATTATTATTATTATTTTTTTTTTAGTTTTAATATAAAAATACAATGAGGTGTAGTTTTCTAAATACGATATAATTAAAAAAGACCTAACCGGCATATTGTAATCGCCATGTTCGCCATCTTCGAAGCAATCTATTAGAAATTGCAAGCTTTAGTTCGCGTCTGTTTGTAAACTGCTCATCTAGAAGAGCATCAGCAACGTTGGAAAAAAAAGCTTTATCCAAGAATGAGGTATATAATAAAAAATTTCCTTTACACTCGGAAGTAGGTAACGAATCAGATCCTTCTCCCAATTGCCTTCCCTTTTGCCAGTCGGTGCCCCTTCGCTGTTGTGAACACAAAACCTGTCATATATTAAGCTACACCAAAAGCTCGGCAGCCGGTGTTTCATAGCGAATGGCCTATGAACGTAA